CATATAGTGACAATAGGGGATTGAAATAGAATTTCTGTGCGGGGAGTGTTGTAGTGAAATGTTCTAGAACTAGTATTCCGTACACTGGTATGAGGTATTTTAAAACAGATAGCTTTCAATAGATCAGGACAGTCAATATGATTGTGCAGTAGATTAAATAGAAATGTTACATAATTGATAGTTCTCCTAGTGTCTAATGATTGAATTTGAAACATATGCAGCACTTCTTTGTGATCAAAACCTCTCACAGGATAAGTACCATAAGTTTTATAGTGCAAAAATTTTAGAAATTTTCTTTGTATAGATTCAAGAGCATTCTTATGGGCCGTGTATGTCGGATTATATATAAGTGAACAGTACTCAATTTTAGAACGCACTAAACTATAGTACAACGATCGAAGTGCTAATTGATTAGAAAAGTGTTTACAGTTTCTAATTATAAATCCAAGCATACGATTTGCTGAATGACAGACATCTTTCATATGGTCACTAAAAGTAAATTTACTATCAAACGTGACACCTAAATCTTTTATTGAGACAAAACGCTGTAATTTTGCATCATTAATAGTGTATTCGAACTGAATTGGGCGCACTGTACGGGTAAAAGAAACTATTTTACACTTCGCGACGTTAAGAGACAACAAGTTAACATTACACCAATTGCTTAAAGCATTAACGTTTGTTTGGAGATGTAAACAGTCTTCAGCACTCGATATAATAGAGTATCTTCAAGTCATCTGCGTATAGTAACTTATGGCAGTAGATAACGTCAGCTACATCGTTGATAAACAAGAGAGGACCTAAGTTGGAACCCTGCGGAACCCCTGAAGTTGCATGCACCGGTGACGATGTGAAATTATTAAATGTAACAGTTTGAACACGATTCTTGAGATACGACTGAAGTAAACGTACAAGGTTTTCTTGAAATCCGTAGCGACGTAGCTTCTTAATTAAGATTTGATGTGGTATTCGATCAAAAGCCTTTGATATATCGGTGTAGACAACGTCTACCTGTCCTCTTCGATCCAATACTTCAGATACAAATTGCTTGAAACATGTTAAGTTGCTTAACGTCGAACGCTTGCTAATGAATCCATGCTGACACTCCGAAATTATATTCCTAACATTACAATATATTTTGTTATACAATGTGATTTCAAACACCTTACTGAAGTTATTCAATAGACTAACCGGGCGATAATTCTCAACGTTGCCAGCATCTCCGCTCTTCAGAACAGGAGTAATATTTAATATTAAATTTGCAGTGAACTAGGAGCTCGTTTGTTATGTTTGTTACAGACGGGCAGGAGCTTCCTGGTTCCCTGAAAATTAATAAACAGCACCGAAAACAGAATTGGAAAATTCGAAACCATTCGCGAGTAATCATATACACAGACGGACGGACGGACAGAAAGTTCAGAATCATGATCTGGGGCTCCTCGTTGATAAAAATATAAATAGCGTGTTTATTCCGAAGTTTAAAAAGTAGGTTAGCCGTGCGCATCGACATAAAATAAAATTTATTCGACGCGCTAGGGACTTCTGAATTCAACGCCGTTTTATGCAATGGAGAGCTCTTGTAGTTTCTAGTTCTAGTTCGGTACCACCAGAAAAAGAAAACAAGTGATAGAACTCGTTGAGCTGTTTAAAATGTTATATAACACATCTGGTTGTACTCTTTGGGTCGCTCATGTGAACATTTCAGAGCCGATTTTACTGGACACCATTCAGCTACTACGTCTGTCTGTTAGTTCATTTATCAAACTACTTGTCACCAGAGAGTGTTTGCATCTTATAACACTGGCACTTGTGCAAAAAATATCACCCGCTCTTCTATTCGTTTATGACTTCTTCCACTGGTCAGTAATGTTTATCTGAAATTGGTAGTAGAGGAAATAAGGGCTTTTGGTATTTTTGATCTTTTTTGCTTTTTAAGGATAAAGTTGAGGCTAAGGTGCTTTCGTATTTGTGGAGCGAGTTTAATAGAAATACAAAGTTTGTCAATGTTCGGTTCACATTGTACTATGAACGAATTGATCCGAAATTTTGGCCGAAGTATTAGGCACTGATGATTCTTTTGTGGAAGTTGGTAGATAAGAAGGAGCCAAAGTGTCCGAGCAAGTGGTATCATATACGGAATAAGTGTCATCCCGTTTACCTGTTTGTTGCCATTTCTAGAAAGCTAAAAGCGAGAAGGGAAATTGAGTTCAGAGTTCTTAGAACGATGTTGGTACGCTTTTGATGTCTTGAGTATCTAACGGTGCTTTTGGCGCATGACGGACCATGAATCCCACCTTCAAAAACTTGTACACCACATATAGGTACACTTGGGAGGGACACAGATTTTGCTACCAAGTCTCAGGGTAGTACAAATGCGAAAACAATTGTTATTAAGAAGTAAACCAGTAGACTTTGCTGGAAGGGCGTGGAGACCGAGGGAGTTAACCCATGGTTAGTATCATCCACGCATCCAATCCGACATTATAGGACGAGAGCCAAGTAGGGTCTGAGTTGGCAAAGTTTAACATAGCACAAAATACGAGAAATCCAATATCAACCGCAGAACGGATTCCGAGACCACCGGATTTAATTGGTAGAGATACTAAGATCCAAGTCTTCTCATCTAACTCAATGTTCAATATTTTCTCCGAAGAATTTTTTATTATAAAATCCCAATGTTTGATGAGGTCTAAGTAGAGCCAATTTGGACAGATGCGGAGAAGATTTGTTAATTTGGGAATTGCGAAACAGTTTCGAAGAAGGAAATGGGCAGAGGTGAAAAACACGTGACATTTAGATATGTTTATTTCAAGGCCAATCTTTTCACATTTTTCGGTTAGAGTTCTGAAGCCTTCTAATAGCACTTTTGGATCACCAGCCAATATGCCGTCCATATAAAATAAACGAGTTCAGAGAGGGGCTTTTAGAGTAGTAAAAATGAGCTGTCATGGTTGAAAGTAAGGAGTCATGGAGGAGCTTAATATTGTATTGCGTACGTTCTTGCTTGCAACAAATGATGGATTACAGTCTATAGGAGGATCGTGGAATAGCAATGGTCCTGAAGGAGGTTAAACGTAGCATCATCTTGTGGAGCTAGAATGTCATCGGACGCGGACTCCGATCTCTTATGTCACTATCAGACGTGATACGAAAGTGGGTTTAGCAGGACGGTTTCGTGTTTTAGGGACGTTAAATGCAGTCTTATTTTTTGGCGTGGAGTTTGAACAACAATGTATGAGAAGGTAAAAAGGTCCATCCACGTTTTGCGGGAGGAGGCGGTCATATTAGTACATTTGTTGATTAGGCGAGCGAGATTGTCGACTGTTTGTATCCGTGTTCCTTTCGGAATTCTTTTCAGAACCGGTATATTGGACTTGAGTTTGCAATGAAGTTGTAGGGTTGCAACTTTTTTTGGACTTCCATATGTTTCCTTTTAATATGTTTAAGCCACATTTGAAAGTCTTAGAACGGTTGGAAGGAGGGCAATGCGGACATGGTCTGAGTTTTGTAAACTAATATTAAGAAGTACGGATATCTTCACATACAGCACATATCCAAGGCGATAATTCACCTTAACTCAGGTCACGAACTTCAACATTTGAGAGTCCAACATAAATGGAATGAAACCATCCATCAAAGAATATCTTGGATTGTGGGGATCACCTCCGGAACTGAGTAATTCATTTTGAATCTTTTTTTCCAATTTTGTCCAAATGGTAGAACTCAAAAGTTAATCCTGTAGGATCACTAAAAGTATAAAAATCACGAAAAATTGTAGATCTAAAACTTGAGTGTATATGATCACATTGAATACTATTAACTAAATTCGTGTATCACTGCTGTATCGCCAATTCTGCAAAAGTTACAGGGTATATTTAATGCGACGATCTTTCTGGTAAATGAAGGCGCTAAAAGAAAATGTGTTTTTTTGAAAATTTTCGACTTTCGAGAACTGATCTCGATCACGGTTCTGATGTTCAAAAAAGTGCAAGTTTAAAAGGACGTTAATTTTTTATTTCAATCCACCGGTTTCGAGCTATGATGGAAAAATGGTACTTTCAAAGCGCCAGTGCAAAACTCATCAGCGATGCCGTACAAACGTCATTTTACCAAAACTACCTTTTTATTTCAATTGAGATTGAATTGCGTTGTACACCAGCTGTTAACGGTGCCTTTTAATTTAAGAGAAATCGTAGGTGGGTAGAGGGAAGTTCTTGGCCCATCTGCCAGTTCTGTAAGAAACTATTTTTGCTATTATTTTCCTTGTGTATAGTGTCAAATTACTTATGTTAAATTACTCTTACTATTTCTGTTATACATTTGCGCGACATGTGTTGCATGAGCTCGACATGACCACATTTGCACGACGTTTACCGACTTACGATGTCAATTTTTCAAAATGCCAAAGACTGAGGGGTCTTCTGAAAGAATAAGGAACTCAAAAGTTTGAAACCACAGCTCTGGAAGCTGCCAATTATGATTGATGTTAAGGAAAATGGACGACTTTGGAGATACAAGGGGAAGTGGGAAAACTTTTCTTATTTATCATATCAGAATAAATATTATATTGTTTTCCGACTGTTAGGTGCATGGAAATGCGGGCGTTTGAACAAAATTGAGGTTGTCCGCTGTGCGTCAAGTTCCTTTTGAGGGGAGTCCGGATGTGCGATGTTCGCCTTGCAAATCGCAACTTTCTCAAGGTTTATTTTATCTAATCACATGGCATTTGGATATATCAAAATCGTTCATTTCGTAGAAAAGGTTGTATCTCGTAGCAGGGAAATTACCGCCAAAAATTGAATTTTTATTGGAAAAGGCGTTGCACTCTCCGACCCTTGTTAGTTCCAAGTACACTTCGAAGTTTTGCGCTGAAGTTTAAATTGCTTTTTAAATAATTTGCTTCGTTAAATGAGCAAATTGGTATAAACTCGTTTATTTAGAAATAATGAGAAAATTTTCGTTTATCCACAAATTTTCTAATAGATTTTTTTCTGTTGCAGGATTTAAGTGGCGGAAACAGCAATGATAGTTCTGGTGGACCGGCACCAGGTACTCCAAACTCTCAAAATATGCGACCAACTCCATCCCCAACGGGATCCACAGGGTCACGCTCCATGTCTCCAGCAGTCGGTCAGTATATTTATATTACGTGATATTTTCCCAGCACGTGTTTTCATTGACTGCATTCACGGAAATTCGATAAAATGCGGGTCTTCTCAACATTGACCTATATTTTACTACGAGTATTCCGGTGTTACTTTTATCTCACACCCTCTACCCTTAATCCCAAACACCGAGGTCCACACTTATTACGAAACCGAACCTCTCCCTTTCAAGGAACAGAGCGCGTGACGTAACCTTATTTATTTTTATTCAACTACTAATTGGTGTTGACGCTTTGGTTAACTAATTTTCATTTACCGGCATACTTTCATCCCTTCAGAATTTCGACGAGCCATTCGTTTTTTTATGGGGTGTGTGCATGTGTGAGATAAATGCTCGTTACGTAATTTAATGTCGGAAATTTAAAGCAGTATTCCATGGCCATTACATTTTTTATTGAAACAGGCAAAAAAGCGAATAAAAAAATGCACGAACTTGTAGAGAAAAAAATTTATCAAAAAAAAGTACGCCGACGGTTGCAACACGGCGGGAGACCGTGTCTACGTAGGAACGCCAGCCTGGTGCCGCGCTATGCAACGATCGATAACTCCGTTCCTATTACCACTCGTGGTCTAAAAAACAATGCTACAATCGTTTCATTTTTTATCGCAAACGCCTATTATTAAACAGATTTTACTAGTTTCTTAAACATTATGTGATTTTATAGGGCAGCAAAACATTCCTATTCCTCCGCGACCATCCAGCGGTCAATCGGATGGAGGTGGACCTACTCGTTTGAGCCATTCTCCTATGACAACTCAGGGCAGCTACCCACCCCCTCATATTCATGGTTATAAAGGACATCCCGGTATGGTGCCACCTACAGGTCAACAAATTCCGATTTATCCACCTAACCAGCAATATACACAAGGTGGCTATCCACCCAGGCCCCAGACTAATATGCAGTATCAGAATCAAGCATACGGCCCGCCGGTTTCCCAAACTCCTCCTAATAGTAATTTACCCCCGCAACAGTATCCTAATAGATCGGCGCCAAATCATATGAGCAACGCACAATTCCCACCTTATCAACAAACGTGGCCAGGTCCAACAGCCACATCCGGTAATCATCTGCCTGGTGGAAAAGGGAACGGTCCACCTCAAGCTCCAAGCTCTCCATCACCAGCCCCTCCAAGACCACCACACTACCTCAAACAACATTTACAACACAAAATGAATTTCGGTAACACACCATCTTCCATGCCTCCAAGTCCTAGCCCACCACAAAATTATCACATGGGTCCTCCAACGGCAAGCCATCACCATTCCGGAATGGGGCCACCATCTAGTATGGGACCACCTAACATGCCTACCGCTACAAGTCCACTTTTACCTAACAGTCACCCACATGACGGACCTATGCCTCCACCAAGCTCAACACCAAACTCACACCATCAATTAGGATCTGAAATGATGGATAACGGTATTACAACTACTGCAGCTGGCACCCTAATGACTCATGTTACGGCATCATCAGGTGGTTCGGTTACATCTGTGGTTACCACAGGTCCCGATGGTGCTCCCATAGATGAAGGTTCACAACAATCGACTCTTTCAAATGCTTCGGCAGGTAAATAAAATTATTATAAATCCACTTCACTTCTACATCTCTATAGATCTTTAGTTTGTAAATTTGTTGGCTTTCTAATCGTCTTATCAAAAATTTGGCAGCCTACTAAAGTTGCGACTGACACGTTGAGGTTTTCCCTTTTTTTTCTTATGCATGCGTGATCTATATACCCGTATTGCCCAAGCTCCTTTTAGCACACTCTTTTGCACCTAACATTCTTCTCAATGAGTGACGCGCGCGATATTTTACTAAAACTCTGCCTTTTAGCTTCAGGGGAAGATCCGCAGTGTACGACACCGAAGTCGCGAAAAAATGATCTGGGCCACTATAGTCATCCGACGACGCCTCAAAGCACTGTGCCTTCACCTGGTGCGGCGAGCATGAACTCGATGCACGAGGAGTATGGTGATCTTAGTAGTCCGAGTTGGCCTCGTACACCAGCTAGTCCCGTAAGTATGCTCACTATTAGACACTGGAGATGTAATGAATCAAAATTTGGTTCACTAACACGTTTTGCGTATGAGGGGTCTATCTGCAAATATAAATAAATGTTTTTTATGTATATAGGTGTGTTCAACTTGCACTTGATTCGTGATATGTTGCACATACATGTCTCTCACACTATGCCTTTTTTTTTGTTAAACATGCAGGCATTCTGTGAATTGCAAGATATGTCACTAAATTTGATCGGCGAACAAATTCGGTTAAATAATTCGTTCCAGTTCAAAGTTAGTGCTTTTTTTGGGCATAAGAATAACGGTTCTGCTGTATGTTTTAGCTATGTTCATCTACATTTTGCACTGCATTTTTATGTTTAATCGACCCAACTCTGCCATAATTCTTGGAGGCCCACTTTAACCAATAGGTCGAAGGGCAATGTAAATGTTAAATATTTGCTTGAGTGCATGCGTACTAATCAGATTTTCTGACCGTGTTTACCAAATTTTGATAGTGGCATTTGTGGTGTTATGTTCCCGTTACGGCACAAAATGACAGCCCTATATCGAATGTGACACAGTTTACAAAGTTGTGTTCACAAAACAAAATTTGCGAAAAGTATCGGCGCGCCACCTAGTGGACACTTGTACAGATCAATCGTTTTGTGATCCTAACAGCCATTGGGTTTTTATCTAAACTAAAATAGATTTTTGGGGGTTATTTTGACGACTTAGTGGCCACCGGGAAAAAGTAGTTGATTTCATCGCTGACCACCTCATTCCATCAGGGTATATCTAACTAGTTGAAGTTAAAGCCATTGTGTGAAAGAACACAAAAATGATTGCTAATTGACCCTTCATATAACGTGCTGCTGTATAAAGATTAATGCTATTTTGTGTCTCACTAAATGTTTTTCGTTTGTTACATCTCTGAATATTTAACACCATTTATTGGTGCGAATGGAAAGCTAACATCACCCGGTATTTCCAGGTGTTTAACAGTCATGTGCCTCCACCGGACACGTATCGCTCTAAGGTTATATACACAATATTATTTTGTTGTGATAATGCTTGTCGTAGCATGCCTGGCATGTACCTTTACTAATAATAATATACCTAAGCTTATTAGAATTTGTTTTGTCAAGTCACAGTTGCTGATGTGTGCAATTTACAGAAAACCGACAGTTTGAGCAAGCTCTATGAGATGGATGACAATCCGGAGAGGCGAGCTTGGTTAGATAAGTTATTAGCTTTTATGGAAGAACGTCGCACACCTATCACCACATGTCCGACCATCTCAAAGAATCCGCTCGATTTGTATCGCCTATACCAATTTGTCAAGGAGCGTGGAGGTTTTATGGAAGTACGACATCGAGTACAATTTAAAAGTATTATTTTTTACGTCGCATTGTTTCCAGGTAACCAAAAATAAAACATGGAAAGACATTGCAGGAATGTTAGGAATAGGTGCTTCATCTAGTGCTGCTTACACATTGAGAAAACACTATACAAAAAATCTATTAGCGTACGAATGCCAGTTTGATCGAGGCGGCATTGATCCACAACCGATTATAAATCAGGTTGAGGCGACTTCCAAGAAGAAAGGAGCTAAATCTTCCTCTGTCCCCTCGCCGGGTTCTTCAAACTCGCAGGATTCGTTTCCGGCCCCTGGCTCGGGTGGTGCTTCAATGGATGGTTACGGAGGATACGGCTATGCTTCCAGTACGAATCCCGATTATAATACACCTCCTCAACGACCTTCTTCGCAAGCAAATGCTCCTTCTCCTCACGGAGGTAAGTTACCGTTTCAATTAATGCTAGAAAGAATGCTTACATAACTTGCCATTAACGTAGTGAAATAATCAATTAGCAAATACAAACAGAGTTCTCGTAGTGGCTTTGCTTTAGGATCTTTTATCTCAGTTTGTTCAGTTTCTTTATCATATTTACAGGCATATCCCGAAAAAGTTTTATGCACTTTTTTACACTATCTGTTCTTATTTAAACAAGCAAACTATCTGAAACAGTGGTTGCAAAAAGTATACAAACATTTTTTAATAATAATAATAATAATTAAAGACTTATTCAAGTACTTAGATTCAATGAATTAGTGAAGCTCATATCTTTGTTTTTTTGTAGGTGCTATTATTATACAGTGTTTTAGAATAAATAATTAAGTTAAAAAGCGTTCGCATTGTAGGTTTTTTACCAATTTATAGAGGGCGCTCCAACAATATTTTTTCATAAACAAAAATCAAATGTTAAAAATATATTATCATTAACCTTTTTTGATTTTTGAGGATGTATTTTGGCGACAGTGCAAACAGAGTGAACTTAACGTTACATAGATTTTGGTATCATTATTTGAAGTGGTATATACGATATACCTAAACCTAAGTAGAGATAGATATGTCTCCGAACCAGTACTTAGAAAAATGAACTACACCCAACAGGTATTATTTTTTCATTTGATTTTCTTGATCAATTAAAGCGCTGTTTTTAAAAATAATTTTAAAACTTGGTTGAAATAAAGTTGAAAAGTTGAAATGAATTTATATAGGAGCTAATAAAGTATTTTAAAATAAAAAGTAAAAATTTACATTACCTACATTGTGAACATTAAAAAGTATTATTTTAAAGTTGTATGATGCTCAAGTTTTTGAAAATCGGAACATTTTGTTACATGCGCTAAAACTTTTCAAAAGACATTTTTCGATTTATACAGGGGAATAGCTGCTGCTACAATATATTTCGAAAAAACCCCTGGTCTCGTATATCAATTCTTTTTTTGAATTCTAATGAAGTTGATAACGTATATTCAGTGATGATATGGAATTAAACATGTTAAAAACACCATACATGCTCACGTAAAGAACGTGCAATAAAATGGAGATAAATTTAAAAAAACCACACTATATATGGTTTCAAAAAAATTCTAAAAATCAATGCATTTTGTGGAATGTTACCTAAAGTTTTTACTTAGCTGGAACTGTGAGGTTAGAATTTGCAGTATTTAGCTAATCAGGCTGTAAATGCCTTTTAGTCGAAATTATTTTTTGTTTAAGTGTTTTATCAATTTGTGTGCTTTACATTTTCCACAAGTTGCATGTTTTGTAATATTGACAACGGCATCAGGGGTATTGACTATAAACATTGCATAAACATGTTTGGTAAGTGTGTCGTTTTGTCTATTTGACAGAGGTATTGAAATTATGAAATCTATTCTTGAGTAAATTTTATTTTTGGCACTCATTAGACATGAATTTCGTTTCTAAGTTTAATAAAAACATTTCTAATTTAGCCCACTTGGTCATGTATAGTAGGATGATACATATTGCTTATTTATCAAAAAACTTTAGTGGAGTATTATATAGCATGGCACGCTTTTTTCTTATATAGGCTCAACAGGTGCTAATCATCTAGGAAATGTATCTTCTGGTGGACCTAGCCCAGCTGGTGGAGTGGCTGATAATGTCAACGTCTCCAATCCATTTGATGATGTCTCTCCTAGTCCACCACCTCGTGGAGGAGCTCCCTTCCCAGGACCGCATCCACCTTACCCTGCGGGAGCACCGCCTAGACCGCAAGGTCAAAGTTACAATAATCAATCCGGTTACAATCAGTATCCCGGACCAGGACCTGGCGCACCACCCGATCAGTATTCGCCATATCCCGCCGGATCAAATTATCCCTCTGCGTCTAGATCCGTTTATCCTCCATATTCAGGCGACTCTGCAGCACCACCTTCCAGTCCAAATAATTCTCAACCCGCACCTCCAACTGGTCAAGATCCATATAACCGTTACAACATGACTACAGGGGCAACTGGTACTGGATATACACCTAGACCAGCATATGGAGGTACTGCTGCGGCGACAGCAGCTCCTGCTTCTCAACCACCTCCTGTTCCGTATTCTGCGCAACAACAGGAATATTATCGTCCCGAACAGGTAACGGTGGCATTATCTCAATACGCCAATTCACAACTGCCATTTTAGCAAAGCACATCAAACACTGCAACCTACGCCGGAGGACCTCCACCGAACAAAAATATGCCACCACCAGCTCCACAACCGAGGCGACATCCAGATTTTGCTAACAAAGATCAACAAAGTTTTCCACAGTATGGCCAGCAACGACCGCAAATTTACGGTAAGTTATCTCTTTCAATAACTTTAAAGCAGAGAAGTCTCTAGAACACCAGAGGAAGGTAGACTGGTTTGATGTAACGAAAAATCAATTTTCTTAATAGCAAAATAAATTTTCTCTTTAACCAAGCTCAAAATCTCTTTGCTTTCTTCTTTTGTCTCGTGTTCATATTTTTCATATGAGAATCTTCTTTTCACGATGAAGCGTGCACAAATTTTGATTAAAAAAACTGCTCAGGTTTCACGGCATGAGGGGGATAATCTGAGGTGTAGCAGTGATGTTTATTATTCATAATGTAAGTCTTTTGGAGACATTTACAGTCTCTGACGTCAATACTGATGGGCCAATTGAAATTGCACAGTGGCGGTATTCTTGATTAACTGAAGTTATTGAAGATATGTGCTGGTTTTCCGTACAGATCCTTAGCAGGATTTCGCCTGTGCTTCCTATTTTAATTTTTGCTACTATCAAGGCAATTTATTTGGGTAGCCATTTATTATAACATTTCAATTGAACTCTCTTAGATTATAAACTTTCAGCTGACATGTGGACAATGACTCAAATTGCTGCTTGCTATCTTTTAGTCAAATTAATTTGTATGATAGTAAATTTTACTCTGCAACAAATAATCCAGTGAGGAGTGAGTCGATGCCTTAACCTTTGTCCCTGTTGGCATAGTGAATTGAAAATCTTACCATTACAAAACCGAATGATCTGAACACCCTTAATAATAATAGCTTAGTTACCTAATAAGTTTTAATGGAAAAAAAATTGCAGCCAGTGCATTAATGCATTACACAGCTATTATTTTGTCCACAACTGTATTTAATCAGTAATCACAAAACTGGGTAATAACTTCTTATCGCGCGCTGTCAAGCTAATTAATATTAGACGTGACCTACAATTGCCACAGCCTTCGCTTAATCAAAATTTTGTTGCTCATACTTTAAGTATAAGTTTTATACCCAAAAGGCTATTTATAATCGTTACCATAATTTTCTCGGCTTTCAGGACCATTATAGAGAAAACATTGGTACAAAATTTCAGTCAAATCGTTCTTCTTCTTACAAAGTGTAATTCAATAGATATCGATTTTATTGCCAAAAAAGCATTTGCCATTTTTGAATTGCTTCCAAAAGCTTTTCAGTTCTTAAGACCATTTAAGGGAACATCTGTTTTCAATTTCAACCAAATGGATAGAGTAGTTTTTGCTGAACTTGTTTACAAGGATCGTGCCGCACAAACACATATTAACGGACATTTTTTTAAAAACCACCTTTTTGGACTCCTGGAGCCTTGAAAATTGAAAACCGATACCGATGTTCATACCGGCCCTTACACAACCTTACATCCACTTAATTACGGGGTGGCGACAAAGCGGGATACTCGAAAAAACGTCAAATTGTCATGTGTGCGCGCATTTGAGTCTCCGTTGAGGTCTCATGGCCAAGCATTCTAGTGTGCATGTTTGGTGCTCATTCAGGGAAGTTATGTTTTGCTCTTGTTTTGATCTTTTGATTCCGAGTTTGATTCAGTTACATATTGTTCTTTGTTATATACACACTGTGGAGTAAAATATCCATTGGTTTATTGTGAAGGAAATCAAACATCGCTATAAAGAATTGGGAACAAAAAATAAAAAAACTCCCGAGGATGCCCGACAAAAAAAATCACAATTGTACACGAAGAGAGCAAACCCCTGTGAGAACTAGCAGAATAAAGACTGCAACGTATGTTAATTAAAAATTTACGGCCGTGATAAGACGCGCCGCCAAAGGGGACGTTTCGTTCCTAGGTCCCCAGTGTAAAATAATAAATAAGAAACATGGAAAATATTTGACGGTGTTTCACCATTTCTTGTAACTTAAACAAGATTGAAATCTTCAAAATATTACAATATGGCTACGTCTAGCGAACCTTCACATTTTTTGGCCATTAAATTTTAGTTGGCATGTGTGGAAGCTCGACGTGAGGCTAAAGGTCCCTGTTCTAATTCGAGTTCGAGCATGGATATTTGCAAATGTATAGTGGGTTGGATTGGTAGAGCAGCCTCGGGCTATGGAACAGACTGACGACAGAAAATCGAGCACATTAGCGTTACCTCAACTTCGTTGTGTTACACTAAAAATGGCCGATACCGGCCTTTAGACATAGCAATATCGGCTGGCATATTTTTTCATTTAACCCACATTTTGTATCATTTGTAACGAACAGAAGGTCACTCAACTTTAAATATGTATAAACAAAACGCCAAAACATTGAATTTATGAGTCATAAATATCCTCCGAGGGTAGTGTTTGTTTACTTTAAAAACGTGAGCAGTTGGTGAAATACCTATTCATTTTTTTTGCCATTCTAATATTTTTTTCGGTCTTGTTCAATCCAGGAAATTGGAAACGCCAACGTCCTTGGTACATCCTTCTATCTGTCTGTCTGTATAGGTTTGTTTATGTGTGGACACATGTTCTAAATGATGAAATATATTAGCGTATGATTTCATTTACTAACATTAGAAGAAGGGAGCGCAATTTCTCCCACACGTAAGTGCACCTCCTTTTTCTGTTTGTGACGCAATGTAAAGGTGCCACCAAATTCAAAAATGATTAGCGAGTGCAGAGGGATGCAACCACATGGAGATACACCAGAAACCATCAGGGGGCTACCCATTAAATCAACAAAGAGCCCGCTTCACAAAGTCTTAAAATTTATATAATAATAAGAATAATAATAATTGATTTATTCTGCAGTATACAAATGAAATTACATCTTTTACGTGATTACATCAAATAAATAAGAATAAGTAACATTAACAGGAAGGGTCAGCAATCAGTTGTGCAGGTAAGCAATTCCGAGCAGATCTGGTCTTCCCTGCCATCCAAAACGTGCCAAATTTTGCAAGTGTTGCAAACAAGGTTGAAGGAGGTTGTAGTTGCAAAAAAGTAGTGCTCAAGTGTTTTTATATGGAAACGACATGTCCTAGTGGACATCAAGAAGTCGAAGGTTTTGCAGGATCTGCTGCGAGCTCAGCTATTACGAATCCAGTGTCACCAAAAATCGGTCATTTAAGTTTGGGAAACAATACAATGGCATAAAAACTCATTAGTGGACAATTTTTGAAAAAAATATCTTATATTTGAGAACTGTATCTTGGGACCTGTTGGAACTACAGAGCTACTTTTGATCGCAAATTAGGAAATTTTATCCTCTTCATAAATGATACAGAGTTATTTTTCGTGCAATAAATGGTCCTCTTCGAGGAGTAAACTACATGTGAAATTTGATGTACATATGAGATTTGGAAAATTTGAAACCTTTCGCCGTTTATCATGCACACGGACGGACGGAAGGTCTCTTTTATCTGGGTTTTATCAATTAACTGTGCTTCAAGGATGATGAACGATTTTACGCACGAAGGGTTTATTGTTTTCTGCATTATTAACGAGCTCCTAAGCGAGTTTATGATTTTTGGACTTTGTCCGTCCGTCTTAACTCGCAAACGGTTTCAAATTTTCAAATTCTGTCGTCATTAGGACTTTCTGTTCGTCTGTCTGTGTTTATCGCTCGTGGCTAATATTGGTTTGTTTATTACTGATTTCATAATTAACAAAAATTGCAAATAATAGATGGTTCTTAGGGAAATTTTTCAAATTAAATTCTCCTTATATCATGTCCATCTGTCTGTCCATTTGTTCCTCGTCTTCACTTGAGAATGTCACACCTTCGCCAATGGATTTCTAAGAGTTCAAGGATCTGTGCTATTGAATATGAGCTGGATTAAAAGTTGTTTCCGACTGCGAGATGGGTGTCAAAAAATTACCCTACTGAAAATTGTACGGGTGTCACTGTATCTTCGTCTTCATGTCCTGAAGCATTTTTGATGCGTGTATCGTTTGCTAATCGATGCGATCTCAGTCAGCCAGTGGATTAAATCCGTCTTGGGGTAGTCCATGTCATGCGTAGGAATTTTCACAGGCGCGTTCCGGTTGCAAAAAAAAGTACCAGAACGTTGCTGCGGCCCCAATACACCACGCCTGTGAGAGGCACAAAGTATACAAGATCCCAAAACCGTGAGGAAAGTCAAAGTGTTTTGTTAGAAATGGTTTTTAGCGCATTTTTGCAAATTTATTTGTAAAAAGTAGCTTTTAATCTCACTTTGGCTGGCTGGATGGCTGGCTGGCTGGCTAGCTGGCAGCAAATGTGGGCGCGTAGAAGAACTCTTGTAGAAAGGCAACGGGTGTACGTGTATCTACAAGGCCGTGTAATTTGTCAACCTTAGGGACAGGGCTACATGATGTGGGGTTGGCGACATCTGGGCGTCATCCTCGAGCGTATAGTTTACTAACGTGAAGGTTTTTCAGTTTTTTCCTATCTTCTACTACAGTTTTGGTCCGATTCTTTTCAAATTGGTGTCGTCGGAAAGATGTTGTAAACACGCACAACTCCTGCGTGGCGGAATTTTGTTTTTTGTCCTAGGGGCGAAATTAACGACCTTTTGCAAGGCGCGCGCGCGTCTTCGAGAGGTAGTCTACTTCGGGCGCCTTTTACGTTCTGTTGCGAATTTTGTCACGCGGTTTAACGTTTCGTAAATCTTGAATCGCTGTCTCTCTTTCTCGTGTTGCCAATAGTAGCTCGAGCAATGAGAAGTGCCCCAAAAATTAAGTACTATCTTGTGAAAGGTTTTTAGCGAAATCCACCAAAATGTGGGTGTAATATAAGTATGCACCGAAAAAGGAAATGTGCGGTAGCCTCCGACAAGATCTAACTGATGGTGGAGTGAAAACTTCAAACGCAAATTTGGGGTGACCGGGGCGTCGGAAATGGGTACCGTCAAAGGGAATGTGGTAGCCCCCGACACGATCTTCCTGATGGTGGAGTCAAATCTTCAAACGCGAATTGCGGGTGAATGGGACCGTCGGAACTGGGTACCGTCAAAGGGAATGTGGTAGCCCCCGACACGATCTTCCTGATGGTGGAGTCAAATCTTCAAACGCGAATTGCGGGTGAATGGGACCGTCGGAACTGGGTACCAACAAAGGGAATGTGGTAGCCCCCGACAAGATTTTACTGATGGTGGAGTCACAACTTTAAACGCGAATTGCGGGTGCACGCGGAAAGTGGGAAGCGGGTACCGACAAAAGTGAATGTAGTAGCCTTTGACAAGATCTTTTATTGATGGTTGAGTCAAAAGTGGGTAATAGAATACTGATCTGCCACACAAAAATGCGCTGAAGTCCCTTCGATCTCACACGAGGACTTTGATAATTTTTTACGATGATCATTGGTATATCGAGCTTGTTATCAAGATGTGGAGAGACAGTGTAGAAATAAAAATTTTACACACGTTTGTGTGGCCTAGAAAAGCCGACATATATAATATTAATAATTTTTATTTGTCATCCCACAAATCCTTGGCTTCGACACGTCATTGGCACATAGCATCTAATTAATAAATAGACATATACATAAAATAAGATAAACAAATACAGTGATAAATGCAAGTAATAATAACAACAATAAAGTTATTCATGAACAATGGTATATTTTTGAAACGGTAATTAAATAATAAATAGGAGGTATTTTACAATAAGTTATCGCAGGGTGTGTTTAGGTATTCGCTTACAGAGTAAAAGACAAGTTGTTAATAAGCACTTCATCTTTAACAGGCCCAATTAAAGGGAAGTGAACCATTTAGAATAACTACAAAATGGTAGAACAACAGGCTATGCAATTCACTCATATGTCAAATATATGTTCCTAATCAATACATAGCAGTAGGATACCGGCAACCCATGTAGCGCAGTGAAGTTGAAGCCAGACTGCGGTACCATCCCGGTTCGGGCGTGGATGTACATCTACAGTGGGTTGGGTTGGTACAGTAGAAACCCTGTTCATTTAAAAATAAAGGCCAAACAAATTAACATAATAATACTGTATATGGAAATTGTATATACAGTATGAGGTGAAAGTAACGCATAAATTCATTTACAATAATTAGAATATTCTTTTTGAGCAAACACTCTTGGACATATCACAAACACAGAAGATGTATCTGTCAAAACTCTTTAAGACGCGTCCGAGTATTTTTGCTCAAAGACTATATTCTAATCGTAAATGAACGTATACGATACTTTTGCCTCACTCTTTATATAGGTGGACATTCAGTTTTATACCTAATTTAAATGGCAAGATACTTACATGAGTCACGTTTTGTTTTTGTTTATCCTGTAAAAAAATTAACTGGAATTAACTTAAATTAAAATATTAATATATGATACATAATACAGGTATGAAAAAAAATTATTACGGGTCTGAGTTATAATAGGCTAGAAAGAAACCCATTAACCATTATATGAGTGACACTGAGATAGAATACACAACAAACTAAAAGCGCATAAAATCCAACATGAAATCTGAGAATTCTGCTTAAAATCCGTGAAATCCAGTAAATGTGTGACTCGCGCTCTATCCCTAGTAAAAAAATAGACATTAACAAGTCGTTTAGGTAAAACCTGAAATAGACACGCCTTTTAGACTTAAGAGGGTGGTATCATTAATTGTTTAAATCATTTTATTCGATGATTTTGCTCTTACTTTTTTACATTTTCAATTTTAATTTTATTTGACATTGACAGGTGGATGGCCCAACAATACTCAATATCGAGGTCAACTCGTGAGTTCAACGGGACCGACGGGTCCAACGTCTGGAACTCAACAATGGCCACAAGGTGGAAGACCAAGTGGCCAATGGGAACGATACTCCGGAGGCAGCCAAAATTATCAACCTCCCCAACAAGGTCAACAGCAATGGTCGCCCATGCCAACGCCAGGTGTAGGTCAGAGTTCTCCATTACGGCCACCTTTGGGTCCTCGATCTGGAAAACCGTTTGGTATGCTTCCACCACAGCCAGGTAAAGGTGTACAACCGCCGGCGTCTAGTACAAGTACTTTGACACAAAGTCAGCTACCAAAGAGAGAGATAACATTTCCACCTGACAGTGTCGAGGCAACATTACCCGTTTTGTATCGCCGGAAACGCCTGTGCCGTGCGGATCTTGGACCCGTCGACGCCTGGCGAATTATTATGAGTTTAAAATCGGGTTTACTAACTGAAAGTTGTTACGCTTTGGACATGTTAAATGTGTTATTGTTTGATGACTCTGCAGTGGCTTATTTTGGACTTAATCAGTGGCCGGGCCTACTAGAGTTGTTGTTAGAACATTTTCGTAAAAGTTTAGCCAATATGTTTGACGGCGTCGTTCCGCGCGAAGAAAAATCTAGCGATGTCGAAATTGACTTAGGCGGCGTGGCGACTCCCGTAGATCACGAGTTAAAAACTGTACTGTTAAAAAATACGAGTAACTATTCGCACGTGTCTCGTAAAGGTCACCCCGTTAGAATGGTCGAACGGAACGAGGAAATTTTTGTGCGAGATCATCGGAAAAATTGGGATATACGAGGTGACACTAATGAAGCTAGTATTTTATTGGCGGGAGTAGTAATGGATCAATGGCATCTGAACGCCGATCACATATTGCCAACATTTCAAGCAGAATTTAGTCGAATACCATTTTATAGGACGTTAGACGGAAAGACGGAATCACGACAGCCGGTGAAGGAGGAACCCGAACCACATCGGACCTTACCCCTAGATACTGCACCACCTCCTAAACTTAGTGAAAAAAGACGTAGGACAAAAACTTTAAGTGATGTGATATCTCGAATTAAAAAAGAATCGACCGAAGAAAACGACGTGCTTGCCTTAGAGATCAAGGGAAAAATGAAGACTGAAGTAGTGAACGAAACGGCAAACTGTGAAGAGCGATCGAATATAGATCTGAACACGACGGCGAGCGACGAAATAAAAAGCGCGCTCGCCGTGCGGGATCCCGCGTATACTTTGAAACGACGACGAACGTCGGATTACGAGGATGAGGCCTACAGTCGCGATGAGGCTAGTCTGTTTTTACTAACCGAAACTCAAGACAATATCGGCAAACGATGTGTGTGCATATCTAATATATTGAGAAGTTTAACATTTATTCCAGGTAACGAAATTGAATTTGCTCAAAGCGTTACTTTCTTGTCGCTCGTCGGAAAACTGCTCGTCTTGTACCACGACCATCCGTTACGCACTCAGAAAACGCGTAATTACGATCGCGAGGTATGTAATATTCTGCTAAATTAACATTAAAAAACCACAAAACAAAAACGGGCCGCCGATTGCGTCTACAATAAATATTAACATTAGATCAACCAAGTTTATCTCAACCCTTCAAAATTGTACTCCTGTACATAGGTCTCTTTCAGCATGGAAAAACATGGAAGAGGCCTATGTCCAGGAATGGAAGAAGAAGCAGTTTCAATTTATCTGTTAAAAAATTGGAGTGATCGGGAAAAGTTTAAACCGATTGCTGCTGGATTTCCAACTTCACTTTGCAAAACTGTCGTCAGGAATTAATTGTCATCAGCTAAAGTTAACCGCTTAGTGTTAGAACTCAACTTGGGTTTGCACTTTTGTAAAGATTCCGCTAAGACGCTTTATAGCTGCACATTATTTTGGTGCTTGCCCAAATTGATTTTGCCGGATAGGTATACACGTCATCTACAGTAATGCCATTTAATGCGTATACCCGCAGTCGTGAATTAGAATTTGCACAATGTAGTACAATGTCAATATGGCGCCCGAGCTAACCCGTGCTAAAATAAAAAAGCATTTTTTTTGTAATGGTTAAATATTTATTTTTTCGGAACATATATGTTAATAAATACTTAAAATTCAATATAAAAAATGATGATAATAATAATAATATGCATATACTTTTTTTGGCATTTGGTCAAACTGGTTTTTGTTTGTGGTTTTTGATGATTGTTGTAGATTCTTTCATTTTAACAGCAAGCAAGCGTTTAATTTCGCGCGTGCGTTTCAGGAGGACGCCGATTTCGCGGACTCGTGCAGCAGTTTGCAGGGCGACGGCGAGTGGTGGTGGGATTTCTTGCCGCAATTGCGCGAAAATCTCCTGGTTTCCGTTTCCAATATTGCCGGTCATATCGACCTGAGCCAGTACGATGAGGAAGTGGCCAGACCTCTGTTGGACGGTTTGCTTCATTGGGCGATATGCCCCTCGGCGCACGGTCAAGATCCGTTCGCGTCCGCCGGGCCTTCCTCGTTATTGTCGCCGCAACGATTGGCGTTAGAAGCTCTGTGCAAGTTATGCGTGACAAATGGGAATGTGGATTTAGTTATTGCTACGCCGCCGTTTTCGCGATTGGAACGATTATGTTGTGTGCTTACGAAGCATTTGTGTCGGTCCGAGGACCAAGTTTTGCGGGAGTTTTCTATAAACTTACTTCACTATCTTGCAGCAGCCGATAGCAGTATGTCGCGTATAATAGCGTTACAGTTGCCGTGTATTTCGTTATTGGTTGCCTTTATAGAACAAGCGGAGCAAAGTGCGTTAGGGGTAGCTAATCAACACGGCATCAGTGCATTACGAGATAATCCAGATTCGATGGGTACTAGTTTAGATATGTTAAGACGTGCTGCCGCGACCTTAGTGTTTTTGGCTCGCCATCCCGATAACAAGCCTTTGTTGGTACAGCAGGAGCCTCGTTTGTTAGCGCTTGTTATGAGTCAAATCCTTGACCAACAGGTAGCTCTACTGCTCTCCAAAGTGTTATTCCAGATATCCCGCAGCTAATCCCTTTGTAGATATTTGCGGCCTTGGACTGGTGTATAGACCCATGTATAGCGTAAATATTGACTTCTACCATAATTACAGTGTGTGTGCATGTGCGTGTGTTTGTGTGTATGGCGGGCTCGACTCGCACAGACTGTAAATCGAGATTCGGATCTCTTGATAGTTAATTCAACCACAAAGTGTAATCCATTATTATACTTATGTACCATTTTGTAAAATAAGAAACATTCGTCTTTCTGGGAAAAATGTTAAAACATCCATGTTACTTATGTATTTATTATTTGATTAATAAGAAGAGTGCAGTGGTACTGTAGCTCTCGAGTTGCCTGGTCTGGTGGTTAATATTTCCTTTACTTTCCTGCACACTTTGATTATTTCGTGTTTGGTATTAATATTGTGCGAATGCTTTATACATGTCTGAAACTGGTTAAATAAATGTACAAAGGAAGTACCGAAAAGGTGTTTTTATACAAGTCTTAATTTTCTATGTATATGTAGAAATGTTTTATACACCCCATTTTAGCTATTAAATTAAACTCTGTTTACGAACAAATATGAACTGTTTACGAGCAGTTAGTAGATCACAGAACGTAATATAGAACTCCAGTGTAGTTTAAAATATGTGGTGATATTTTTCTGGCTGTAGGTATAACTCATGTATGATTGCATAATGTAAAAATAAGTAAAGGCTAAATATATTCAACTCTTTTCATTATTGTTTCATCCTCACTCGCTCTTTAAGAAATTATCTAAATTTTCTTCTTCGTCCAGGTAAGCATCGCCCCAATGTTCCTCGGTTTCAGACATGAATGAACATAATTTGCTCTAAAAAAGATTGACTGAATTCATTTTTTTGTTTATGTATTGTTTTGTTCACGGTCTGTAATGTTTTATGATAAAAATATAGTTGCCTGATTATTATTTATCTTCAATTTTGATCACTATGCAGGTAAGATTTTTCTATTCAAAATGGTACAAAGAAAAAAATTCTTGGAAATTGCTATTTTTTTTTAATAATTAATAGTCATTGTGACTGCCGTTCACTTACAATTATTAACAAATAATAATAAAATGGAATGAAGTTAAAAGATTTTAAAATGAATCTGCCCTGAAAGGAAAAATTATATTTGTCTCGAATTGCTGCAGATTACTTTTGTTATGGTGGACATTATACAACCTATCAATATTTATAACTGTTAACTAAAACTTTAATAAATTTCCATCAGAGTAGGGATGCCAACTGGAAGTCTGGTTTTTTAAAAGTTTGTCCAGAGTCCGGAATATCTGAATAATTAATAATAATACATAAGGACTGCCTAACGTGAACTAGAACATTATTCCTGAACATAGAGATTTATTAACAAATTTCAAATTTACCAAGTACCAATTTTTTTCAAATCAAATATGTAGGTATGTGGTGCCCTCTAGTGCAATAAACAAACTATAGTGTAGCGGTTTATTTTTCAAAATAAATCAAAGTGTGTTATATGTATCTCCCAGCTTGGATTAATTATGTTTTTGGAAATGAAAATGTGGCAACCCTACATTGGAGGTAGAAATCCATATAATTTGCTCACTTGCTACAGTAGACGAAGACCAATAAAAATAACAATGAAACGATAATAATAAAAAATTGAGAAATAAACAGTTACAAATTGGATAAACATAAGCATGAAACAACTAAGAGAGGGGGAGGGGAGGATTGTGCAGCGTTTGCACTTTTGTTGGGATTAGGTAGATAAGGGATAAATTTTCGGTATACTCTGATTAACAAAGTTTATATCATGATTCTTCTCTAGATTAGATCTAGTGCTCTACCTACTATAGATTGAAAATATTAAATAAATAATGTAGCATTAATGTTTAATATGTTTTCATTGTATAAAACATAGCAACAGAACAGATAGAAACCTCTCCGGTTTGCTACTGTACCTGGCACGTATGAAGGCGAAAGATCACGCATCCCCCCTATTCATTTTCTATTAATTGCACGTATTAGTGCGTCACAGAGCCTCTAAATTGGTCATCTGTACATAACCCACTGTAGCCTTTTTACGTACCAGTACCTATATACATTTCATAATACTGCAATATAAGGCAAAATATTGTACATTTTACACATCTACCAGTATATATTAGCGAACTTAAAAAGAACCCACTTGAAGAGCAATAAGAGCCCGGGAGATAATGGGAGTCGTACCGGAATAGCTGAAGCTTGGAGGCAAGGATGTGGAATGCTGAACAACTGCCAAAAGAGTGGTCACAAGCAAACTGTGTACACAAAAAGTTATCGAAAATAGAAAACTTAATAGGGGACTATCTGTGTTTGGTTCCAGACAAGCAGATCTGTAAGCGACCGAATTTTTATGATCAAGCAGCTAATAACAATGAGCACAACCTGCCGCTGCGTTTAGTGTATAGATTTCAGGAGAGCAAACTAGACAATGCACCGGTAAACTTAGGAATACCCACAAAGGTAATCAACGTAATAAAGGTGATGTTACAAGAGACGAACAACAAACTAAGGATTAACAGGATCAACTCACTGAACATCAGAGTTAGACAGGGAGATCTGTTATCAACAGACTTATTTAATTTATTATTGGAGCAATCGTAAGGAGATGCAAGTTCCACACAAACTGAACTCTTATACCACCATAGACACCAAATAGTTGCTTTCGCCGCCCATGTAGCCTTAGTAGCAACAAGGAAGCACCAAATAATAGAAATGCTACGGAAGTTGGAAAAAGTTGCAAAGTATGGTTTAATAATGAACATGGAGAAGACAAAGTATACGGAAATGCAAAAGGGAAAGAGAACAGAAGAAAGAGTGTAGAAATTTAGTATTCAGATCAGAGGACGAAAAGCTGAATGACAAAAAAGAGTGGAGGGGAGACCAAAAGGCAATTAAAGTGTCTGATCCTTTTTGAGAATTTTCAAATCAAACAATGTATCACAATACTATACAACAGTAACATGGGGAGTGAAATGTGGTTCTTACCAAAACAGAACAACAAAAAGCTGGAAATATGGTAAAGGAAAGTGCTGAGAAGAATATTTAAAGGTGAGCAAGTAGAAGACAGATGGAAAAGGAGAACGAATGAAGAGGTGATGGGCTGGTGTATAGCCAACCATCCATATTAGGAGTGATTAAAAGCCAAAGGATACGCTGATTGAGTCACAAAGAGCCTAGGAGAGGAAAGAGCAACAAGACAAGTCATACAGTACGGAGTAAAGAGAAGAGGAAGAGTCGATGCTCGTTTTTTTGGTGGGACGGCTTTCCGGGACATGGGGGGGGGGGAGTCTCGGCAGGTTGTAGTTCCGGTACCTCAATTTCTAGAAATCGAGCACTGCGTATAGTATAATTCAGTAGTTTTTACCTTTGTTTTATTGGAGATATTTTATAAAAGTAGATACGTTTACCTTTAACTGGAGATCTAAACAAGCAAATCTATTTATAATCAAATCATTTATTTGTGGGATAAACTTCCATCTCCGAAACGTAAGATGATGGTAATAAAAATCTTTCATGGTCACTGTTGGTGTGCTTCACAGGGTATTGCGTTACTGCAGCATATTTGAGATTGTCTGCATTATCATCATATATTATTATGGATTAACCAACAGGCAACAATATTGAAACTTAAAAGGGAAATTACTTGTCAACTAAGTACGTACATCAAAATCGTACTTTTTTCAAAATAATTTTATTTTTTTAGTAATAAGGTTTTTTTATGGATATATAATTTGTTGCATCTCAGAATGAATGTACAATCAACACTATACAATTACATACATCAAATAAAAATACTAATACAGTCTGTTTGAACTGTTGAAGGTCCATATATAAGAAAAGGCGTCCTTTGAACGTGTAATCGCGGTATATTGACAGTTCATAAAAAACCATACGAAAAGAATTTGACATCATCATCACTCAAAATTAAATAAGATAGATGACGCGTCATCACTGGCGCCCTGGGTTGGAACACTCACAATGCGAGAAGGCTTCAATAATAGTTTGGGTTAAAAGTGGCGCCCTTCGGTAAATGTAACATCCGTGCTACTTTTGAAAGGCTTAGAACTAACATTGAGTATTCAAGTTCATGACATTCCAAAACCCAACCCATGATTCATGTGAACTTGCATTTGTGATGTGTTAACGCCAGGGTTGAGGTATGTGACGATACCGTTTGTAAGTGCTGATCACGCTGCGTGACAGAGGTTACTGCCACTCAAAAATCCATTTTAAGCTAATTCACATATACCTACTGGAGTAGAAAATAGCATATAAAAGTTGCAGAAGGTATATAGGTAGGTAGTTCACTTTAGTTTTTGACATTTGGGATTTGATTTACTCGTGTAGTGGCCCTTTAATTGGGATATTAGGATCTCTATTTGATTTTCACAAATGTGAAATAGCTCAGGTTTAAGGGAATAGTATTTCTAGGTAGCCTGTATCTTTACCTACCATGAGGATATACTCTGGGTACCCATTACCATTTCCTGGAGGTATTGTTTTGCTATATATGGGTTAGCGCGACCCAAGATAAATTCAATCATTATTGTTATTCGTTAACATTTGATTTCGACACCATTTCCCGCTCAAGTGTAGACGAAGACATGTGTAGATAGAATGGCGGGCTGACGGTAAACAAGGCTATTAACGGTTGAGATATAATGAGATTTGAACCATACAGTTTGCAAGTGAGAATGCTTAATTACAAACCGGCGAAGCTACAGCGACAATACTACATGAGGCAACTTTTGCCAAAATTTATTGTCAATATATTAACTCATGCTCATGCTCTCAATGTAAAATTGTATCATTTGTAAAACAAGACTTTCTGCTAATAAACCATGTAGGTAGGAACAACTCCATCGTTATACTTTTGTTTGTTTACTGCACAAAAATGATACACAGCATTTCTCTAAAACATAATTGTTCATTAAAATCTCTACACTTAGAGGTGATATGGGGTTTACAAATTATTAAGAATTGTGAGTTACAACAAAGAAAATGTATACATGTTCCTGAAGTTGATAAAAAATCTTATAATGTTATATTATTTTCTGTGACAAAAACAGAACAGACAACACTTTTGAACAAACTCAAAAATGAATAGGTAATTCGCAAAAACGTTCCATGGAATCACCTTTTCCGTATCGATCGCCTACACACCTGAACAGGGAAAAGTTATTATGTCGCATCTTCCATGGATCACATTTTTGACAAAATTCGTCTCGTTGCTTGACGTATTCCTCGCAACGCCTCATGTCCCCATTTGGTTCATTGTTTGTTTCTAATAGCTTGATACACAGATCAAATCACCTGTAAATAATGAATTCAACATCAATCATGTAAAACATGTAGAAAACTACTTATTATTACTATTATGCTTTCTAACTTTTCAGCGTTTGTTCAAACATGAATACAAAATAGTAGCAAAATCTTGCGTACCTACCATTTTTGCCATGATATGTAGTGGCGGACATGAAAAAATTTGCAGAAATAGTACTCTCCACAAACAACAACCCGATGGGCCAGGGTATCCGCTTCCATTCACCCAAGCCTTCACGTGACGCTTGGCGACCGAAAAGGAAGGAAAATCGTCTCTAGAAATATGGCTGTATACGGCGCAATATTTTTCCTGCAATCAAAAATGAAGAGGAGAGCGTTTGGCAATTACACAAAGGGAATCATTGGGTACTGTCTTGTATGCCTCGAGGAAGGTTGTTAGAAATAGGGATTCAAACGAGGTCAGTTTCCTGACCACGTGCGAGTGTCTCAGTCTACCGTAGCCATATGTAAGTGTGGGAATAACTGCACAGCTAAAGATAGACTCTAGTGTCATAAAAGTATATCTCCTCCCCGTTTCAAAAATTATTAATTTTTTATAACCATGTACTTTGACATTACATCGAATATTTTTTTTCCTTATTTGATTTTGCTTACAAGGTCCACATAAAGCAGGACGCACACTATCGCGGAATGGAAGGGAATGGAACGGAACGGAAATTTTGAAAACATATAATTAAGTTAGAGTTCGCAGACTACCGCGGAATGGATTGGAACGGAATGGAAAGACTTGGATTGCTCACTGAGCGAATTTTTCCGCGGTTCCACAGCCCCCTTCGTTTAGTTTAGACGAAAGCGCGTACAAAGCGTGTTTATTCCTACAGGAAATAAACTAAAATAGCGCTGACATTTCACAATATACCGTACCCATTTTGTGTTTGTTTGATTATTGAAATGAATGAAGAATTTTTAATTAATATATTATGTGATTATCCATACCTATATTTGTCATACGATACAAATTTGCGTTTTTTTTTGTTTTCTCCCTCATTTCTTCAAATTCAAACTACACACAGCGCTACAAATTCTTCGTCTGACGTGTCCACTGCGAAAGAACATTACACCCTACAAACAGGATCAAGCTAGTCTGGTAATAAATTACTCATATTTAAATAATTTTGTTCCGCGAAATTCCGGGCTAATGTGTGGAGATTCAGAATTTCCATTCCATTCCGCTCCGTTCCATTCAATTCCGCGATAGTGTGCGTCCTGCTTTATCAACCCTTCCCCGTTTCATTTTTTTGAGAATACCAAACCCGCCTATTGTGAGAGTTGTAATTTTTGTGGTACAGACCACGTCCTAAGTGGGGCTTACTGACCACCCTCTGGCTATAGAGCTGCATAGCGAAACATTTTGAGAAGCGATGGAACATTTCAAATTCAATCACGAAGTTAGCGGTAAGCGTTAAAGGGCGCCCTTTTTGATATTGTGGAGTCTAGATTTTTGCCTCGTCTCATCTGTAACAAACGAACGATTATTTTTTATTATTTGCAGGAGGTCGAGCTAAAAACATCGAATTGTCCTGGGAGACGTACTTTCGTGTGGGTACTGTGGGTTGCAGGCGTGCCATTTAAATTAAACCGCACGAGCCGTTGTAAGATAGGCAACAAATTTAACATGTGTTTATGAATCATTGGGGTTACAAGTTTGTGAACATCCCTTAACAAGATGGCAGTCCTCCCACCCTATGTGTAGTATTTTTCTACTATGGCGCTCGTATCTTGTAAACATAGCCGTTCTTTTTAACGAAAATTTGTAATTACAAGACAAGTTTATGGTAGTAAAGTGTACACAGATCGTGTTTTTCGAATTACGTAAAGAACTAGACTGTATGAATGGTTTTTAATACAGATGTCCGCTGTAACACACTCGGTGTCAGGTTAGTAAATCGTTTTGTGGCTTTTTTCTTATTTATGTAATGCAATTCCGCGATCGTTATCTCGTCCAAGCATAACCTAATTATTTAAACAAGTCGGTGCCTGGATTGTCAGACACTTACCCCCCAACTAGACGATTTCTAATGTAAAAATAGAGGGGCAAGTTTCACATGTAACATTAGATTCCTTGTTTCCCTTACAAATCGCTTAGTGAAAGGGTAATAAACTGGTGTAGTAATTGTTTATTGTTTAGTGTAAATATTTGCATTTTACATGTATCAATGACAGGTATTTTGTAGGTGCTGATCCCACCAAGGGCATCCAAAAACGTAGGGCAGGAAGTATAGGGTGAGTGAATTTTCATTTTTTTATGCAAATTTCCTTAAAAACGGCAGTTTTAATTTTTATAGCGAAATCGTAAATGTCGGTAATATAGATAACCATTATCTAAATTATAGCCGCGCGTTTATATTGTGTAGGTAACTGAGGACACCTATGAAACATAATCGCAAATACGTCTGACTCATTCCGCGCGCGTTTGACTTACAGCCTTGGAAAATGTTTGGCAAGGCCGCTGGAATCGGAAACTTTTACGAGACTGTTAACTAGCTGTATAAATGCCGTAAATATGTTCTTAAAGAACATTGTAGATCTCAAAGTGTAAATAAATGACATGCTGCGAATTTTAATGCTTCTTATAAAAAATAGGGTTTTACTTTAAAACTTCCTCGAAGACCAAACAAGTTCTCAATAAACGGTGTAATCGGAAACGATTTACAAAAGCGTTTGTACTTTTTCCGATTGGAATTAGTGAATAACTAATGATTTTGTTCAGCGCCGCAGCTATCTGTGTTCCGTGTGGGTCAGACCACAATCCCATTTATAACCACTAACGTTATGGACGTTTTGGTCACAACGACTCCAAACTTTACCACAACCCTAACTTTGCAGAATGACCACAACGTGAACGTAATCTCGATGATGTCGATCGGTCTGTCTGCCTGTACCGATTTAAACCAAATTTGGTACACATATTCCTACCTATAAAAGGAAGAGCTCCCCTTTTGGGTAGAATCGCGCATGTGCGAGTGCGTCAAACTCTAATTTCTGGCTAAACAGCTGAATCGATTGGAACCAAATTTGATACTCATATTCTTAGACCCAAAAGGGCAGAATTGTGCATTCGCAGGTATACGGGTATTATCTGTGATAGCCACAGCAAATTTTTTTGGTGATAAGTTATTCGGAATTGCTGCATCGAGTTAGAATTTACGATAGTCTTCAAAATTAAGTTCAAATGGGATAAACACTTAGTATTCAACTAGGCGTTTCTAGTAAAGGCAAACATATCACCACAGATTTAAATATACTATTTAAATCTGTGATATTACGTATAGCATAACTCAAAATGTCAATTATGGAGAAATTTGACCATAACTGGTTCTAATAAAAAGAAACGTAGCGCATACATTGAAAATCACACCCGCGCATGCGCACATATGTACACAGTTCCATTTTGTTCAAAGCCGCCAATTGTTATTCACTGGTGGGTTTTAAGTAGTTGATTTCTGTTTCCGGACAACTGCTTTAGGTACTTATCTAGGAACTTCTGAGCAGAGAACAAAATTGGGTGGTGGAGGTGCCCAAAAATGTTGGAAATAAAAAAGGCTCTAAAATATTGCGTTTGAGACCTACGCCTGCAAATGTCTCACAGGATTGGAACTAGTTCTTCATTCAGAATTTTGAGTATGCTCTTTTCGAATTGGTTAAAAATGAATTTTTTTAAGTGAACTTAAGTAGTGGGAATGAATAAATTAGGGGTGTTCGCAAACAAATTATGTAAAATATTGCGGCTGATATTAAATCTACAAACATTAACCCATAAATAAACCCAACATTGAAAATTATTTATAAAAAGCTGTGGATACATCCTTATTGGCTTTGTTTAAGGAATGACGTGTGTACCGGGTGCCCTATTGTGGTTGAGACTGCAGTGTATCTCAGCTGTTTTTAAAGATAGAGACTTGCGGTTTTCGTGACCCTGTGCCAGTTTTTTTTGTGAAACTTTTAATACCACAAAATAGAATCAATCTAGCTACGTTTGTTTCTGAGAAACCGGGTGAAAACTTTTTGGGATGTTATTACCATCCATGTACTACTGATACATCAATGCAATCAGCAAAAAGAATGCAAAAAATTGACGTTAAAATGCATGTAAATACATGGTGTTGCATTTAAAAAATACAAATCCAAGAAAAGATGGTTCAAAAATTTTTTTTACTACGCCACTGGATTCTACGTAAAAATACCTAAGATAGGCAGTTTTAATAATGAATATTTAAGTATCTTACAAGTAAGATGTCACACCCCAAAAAGTCAAACTTTTCGTTTTCACCCTGTATCTCAGGAACAACGTAGCTATATTGATTTTGTTTGGGGTATTAAAAGTTTCACAAAAAACGTGGTACAAGGTCGCGCAAGTCTCTCTTTAAAAACAGCTGAGTCTCAGCCAAAAAAGGACACACGGAATACTCAAAATCTATTGCTGGCTGGTTATCGCATAACTTCAAACGAGCTTTATCTGGATTTTGTAAAAATAGTGTAAAAATTCCTACCCCAAGATGGTGCACTATTAAGCGGAGGCGAGAGAAATTGTGATCTCGACGAAAATTGGTATTTGGAGGTGTTTCAACATAAATAAAAAATGAATTTTTGAAAATTCGAAGAAAATGCTAACTGCAATTGGTTTTTACATTTTATTATTGGAGCTACGAAGTCTGTGAAATTAACAATTATTCTTAGGGTCGCAACAGTCAAATCAAATAGTTAATTGTAATACTTTTGTTTATAATTTTATTTAATTTTCATACGTTTTTTTACATTTTTTTTAATGATGCATATGGTAATTTTCATTGCATCTCTAATACTTTGTAGCTATGTTAGTAATTGATTGAGAGTGATTGTACTCTTTTAAATGTTTATTCTGCTGTATAGCTCCAATCTCGGCTCCAATAATAAGAAAGTTAAGGATAATGCCGGTTTTTGGTAGACTACACTGTATAGTAATAATTTTTGAATAAGCATTCAGTGAAATTTCATTTCTTCGTATACTTCACTCATTAGGAATTTGTATACCTACACATATTTTCCCTATTTTGCTTTGTATTTCATGAACCCCTAAAGCGGATCTAGAAAAGCGGCAGAGCGGTGTGACCCTACGGGGTAATTGGAATTGACCCATTTTCAATAGGTCATCCGTGCAAAGTTTGAACCGAATCCGCCTCGGAATCCGCCCAAGCGTTTGGCAGTTATCGCGTTCACGATTCCTATGAATTTTGCATCGCTTTGCTCTGCCACTTAATTTTGTTATATTGCTGTCATAAACAAACAAAAATCACTCATCTTTATTTAACCATTTGAGGTAGGAGGGGGGTTCAACGTCGTGGTCGGTGTGAAAATTCACTGCTCTTGGTAAGAAAACTTAAAGTCTATAATATTGTACAGGGTGGATCAAGGTAGATTCTTTCGAGAACTGAGTTTTAGAAAACGAAAAGAGCCCAAATGTGCTTTTATTTGAAGATTCCGTAGGAGAGGCCATGACTTAAGGAGGAAATGAATAGATTTTGGGTCAGTCAGTCAGTCCACTGAGGGCACAAAACTCGCACTACTTCCTTATACGAAGAATCGCATACGATTTTCAGTAAGGGAATTTTTTGACACTCGGCTCCCATTCGGAAACACGACTTTTCATCCGGCTCATACTCAATAGCACTGATCCTTGAACTCGTCAAAATCGATTGGCGATGGTTGTCTCTTTTCGTTGCCGAATTACAACGGACAGACAAAATCATCACGTGAGGGCAATTTCTTTTGGTAAATTCCCCTAAAAACTGAAATTTTTGTATTTGAATTTTTAAAATTCCTAAACCGAATTTTAGTCAGCACACAAAACTGCAAAATATAAATTCCACTAAAAGTAACTTATTACAATTGACTCAGTCTACGAGTGTTGCTGGCTGACTAAATGGGAATAATACCACAAAAACTGGAGAGCTAAATTTATGTGGTGCCGATCAATTTTTTGTGAGGTTCAGAGGGGTGAAAGACAAGACACTACTTGTATGCTTAATTAAAATCCTCCCGTTTCACGAGGTGAGGGGAATTAATTAATTTTTGTTTTTTAACAACAGTTAACGCAATCAAAATGTCGTAATGACATAAAATTAAAGAAAAGTGCTTTTAGCAAAAACCGTTCAATCAAATGAGCTGATGCGATCTGACAGCATTCTCGTCGACATTATTTCGAATTAGAATAATATTGTGTACGTCAATACCGAACACTCTTCGAGATTCAATTATGATAAGACTCTTGTTCATTTCTTATCAGTTAATAAATAGCCCGTAATGCCTCTGGTTGTATTAAATGTTGGAACATCTCGTGTTTATCAGGTTCTAACCGCCCTCGTTGTACGTTATTAAAGCTCTTAACGGAAAAATGTATTACTTTCGCCGCCCCACTTTAGACAGGAAGGAAAATTTGCTTATTTTCTTGATTTAATTTACTTTTTAAGTGTCCTTGCTTACGTAGGTAACAAATTAATTTACTGTCTCGTTTTCGTTACAAAAGGTAATTTATTCTGTGACGTCTGCCAACATTTTGAAAAAACTCAAAAAACTGGTCGCTTTGCGCGTATCGTGACCTTTTACTGAAGTTAGTTTCCCATCGGTTCGGTTCCTGGTGGACACTCTGTATAATTCGTGATATTTATACAATACAAAATCACAACGATTTGGGTAATGAGGGAGACGTACCCGTATTTTTTACCTTTATTTTTTTAAGTGGGCGTTGCTCTTGTATCCCTATCACCCCCATAAATAAGCCCCCCTACGAGTGCCTTTTTAACGCGATTCAAATTTTTGCGGTTGCATTTTCCTAGCTTGATATAGGTAGCTATTGCGATCACCGTTTTTTGGACATGCCAAAACTCAAAATTAACTTAAATAATCGACGGATTTTGTTTAAATTTTGTATATGTATATTAGGCATACGGAAACGAAAAATAAGGGGTCGGATTTTTGAAAAAAATGTTCCAGCGCCGCAACGTCATCGATCTTTTTTTTTTCAAAATGTAGCAACAAATTTTGTCATACAATAGCCATTACTATAAAGAATTATTCGAATTTTCGTATTTTTTTCAATCAATTTTTTAGAGTTGTTGTTTCTCTAGTGTTCTAGGCTATGGGGACTTTTTCAGATTTCAATCAAAACAGTAATGAAATTTATTCCCCCGCAATGACCAAATGGAGCAAAAGAAACATAAACGGATAGGACTGAGAGGGCGCGGAGA